GATTCAATCTCCTTACTAGCCAGATTTTCTAATACTCATGATTAGTCTTGGTAGATTGTATATTTCTAGGAATTTGCCTATTATATCTAGATTACCTGAATTGTTAGCATACACTTATTCATAGTACTCTCTTAAAATCCTTTTTGTTTCTGTAAAATAGTAGTAATATTTTCAATTTCATTTATCTTTTTTTGAGATATAATTGACATATAACATTAGTTTCAGGTGTACACATGATGATTCAATATCTGTATATACTGTGAAATGATCACCACAATAAGTCAAGTTAATATCCATCACCACACAGTTATAATTTTTCCTTTTGATAAGAATTTTTAAGCTTTACTCTCTTAGCAACTTTCAAATATACAATACCGTATTATAAACTATAGTCTCCATGATGTACATTACGTCTCAGGACTTATTTTACACTGGAAGTTTATACCTTTTGATCCCCATTCCCCCTTTCACCTGCTCCTAACCCCAATCTCTGGCAATCACCAATATTATCTATGAGTATGGGGTTTTTTTTTTTAGATTCTATATATGAAATCATATGTTATTTGTCTTTCTCTGTCTATTTATTTTACTTGGCATGATACCCCCATAAGGTCTATCTATGTCATGAATGGCAAGATTTCATTCTTTTTTATGGCTGAATAATATTCCATTGTATATATTACACCGCATCTACTTTATCTATTCATCCATCAGTGGATACTTAGTTTGCTACCATGTCTTGGCTATTATAAATAATGCTACAGTGAATATAGGGTGTATATATCTTTTTGAGTTAATGTTTTCATTTCCTTTGGATAAATACCCAGAAGTGAAATTGCTGGATCATATAGTAGTTCTATTTTTTATTTTTTATTTTTTAGAGCTGTACAACAAACATTTATTATCTCACAGTTTCTGTGGATTGGGAATCTGGCTATTTTTAATTTTGAGGGGAACCTCCATACTGTTTTCCATTATGGCTGCACCAGCAGTGTATTCTCACCAACAGTGCACAAGTGTTCCCTTTTCTCCACATCCTCGTCAACACTTATTTCTTGTCTTTTTGATAACAGTCATTCTAACAGGTGTGAGGTAATATCTTATGGTGGTTTTCATTTGCATTTCCCTGATTAGTAATGATGTTGAGCACTTTTTCATGTACCTGTTGGCTCTCTGTATGTCTTCTTTGGAAAAATGTCTATTCAGATCCTCTGATCATTTTTAAATTGAACGATTTGGAATTTTTGCTATTTAGTTGTATGAGTTCTTTATGTATTTTGGAAATTAACTCCTTATCACATATATAATTTGCAAATTTTCTCCCATTTGGTAGGTTGCCCTTTTATTTTGTTGATAGCTTCTTTTGCTGTGCATCCATTTTCATTTCTCATGTTAGTAATTTGAGTCTTTTCTCTCTCTCTTTTTTAGTCAGTGTAGCTAAAGGTTTGTCAATTTTGTTGATCTTTTTGAAGAACCAATTTTGGATTAATTGATTTTCTATTCTTTATTTTGTTTATCTCTGCTCTAATCTTGATTATTTTCTTCCTTATACTAACTTTGGCTTTAGTTTGTTCTTCTTTAATCTTTAGTCTTCTTTAATCTCTTTTGATAATGGTTTGTAGTTTTCACGGTACAAGTTTTATACTTCTTTTGTTAAATTTATTCCTATTTTATTATTTTTGATGCTATCATACATTTTTTCCTGAATTTAATTTTTAAATTATTCATCACAAATGTATAAAA